GGTCTTCCATGAGTCATAAAGTAAGTGAATCTCCTCTTTCTCTCATGGATTTAACCATGTACTAAAACTGAGGCCTTATTTTTAGCAAACTAGTGGTCTCAGTGATGTTATGCTGAGACATCTAGATACACCATAGTATTTGCTGAGATAAGTATGCTTCGGTACTACGTGCCCATATATGTTCTTTTGTGCTGTGTGTTGTCTATCCGACAGCTGAAGAAACCACGAGAGCAGGAGAGTGCAGGATTATTTTCAGAATATCTCATAGTGTGTACCAGTCCTGTAACCACAGAGACTTAGAAGTTAACTGGAACCTGTGTTTCTGCTAGGCAAATCCTGTGTGCTGTACAGAAGATTATAGTTGGAGCATGAGACTCTTCTGGCTATCTTTCCTTTATATTTACATGGAAATTAAGCCTTTTTTCCCCATGAGAATAGTCAGGCGTAAAACTCCAGTTCTATGTCCAGGGTTTCTGATGTTCGTGGATGTGTGTGCTGTACGCTTCCTTTTGCCAGAACTCCCAGTGTCTTAACTGCTTTGTGTGGTGGGAGGAGGTTTCGGTGAACATAACTTTAAAGGTAGTTCTTTAACCTTTCTTGTAGCAGAAGCTTTAAATCACATTGCTAGATTTGTAGGTTAACATATAGCCTGATTGTTGCTCTGTTCCTTATATTTAATGATTGCTAGTTAATAAAGTGAGTATTCTCTGTCAGTTAATCACTACCCCTGTGAACTCTTGCAGGGGCGGAGGACTCAGGCTGATAGAAGTTTATTTAAAAATATAATGTTGAATCTTCTACACGTCAAACAAAATACTATTTAATTTCTCTAGAAATGGGGGTTTATTTTTTGTAGGTTAGGATTTGGGGTTTTTTGTTGTGTGTGGTGGTTGTGTTTTGTTTTGGGGTTTTTTGTTTGTTTGGTTTTTTTTTAAGGTTAGTTCATCTTTCAGCCTTCCTACTGCAGCTACCATTTGTTTTCCTTTGCTGCAGTTGCCAGTTTTGCACCCAGCCAGCCTTGTTCATAAAATAAACACAACTACTCGGAATAATGGAAAGTGTCAATTCAAGTGTTCATGTGGGCGGGTGTTTCCTTTTGTTTTTCCCTGTTTTAAAGGAGTGATTGACAGCACGTAGCAAGAGAGCAGAGCCTAACTTTGCTTCTAGTCTTACTGCTAATGCTCACGTGTTGAACTAGGGGATTGTATCCCAGTGGAAAGACGTGAGTAACAGTTAAGTGTCTGTCATCTCCCTGGGCGGGAAAACGCATACACATGTCAAGAGCGAGTCTGAAAGCCACAGCAACTCTTGTCTGGTTTTTGTTCTCTTGACATAGGTTTTCTTGATACTAACCTTAAAGCTAGCTTGCCCTGTTTCCATAGAAATGCGTGTTTGCGCAGCAGCCCCGGCCGCCTCTCCTCTTCTTGCACGTCCCTGCCGAAACAGAGGAACGGTCAGCTGTGTTGTAAGATAAAAGAAATGGACTTAATACAGTAAAAAAGATTTGAAAACAGCATTGGAAAGTGTACTAGTTCTGGATTCAGTAGAATGGAGATAAAGGCAAATTTTCTGATCTTAAAAAAACATTGAAGAGGAGCTAGAAATTAGTCTGTCTGTCATTGAAATAAGCTTCTGAGTACAGAGAGGAAATCAGATTAAAATGTCAGGACTTTTAACACTGGAAGTAGAAAAGATCAAGAGCCCTTTCTCTGATGATATGTTTGGCTTAAACAACAAACGCAGGGAAGAACCTTTCCACATAGCTCTCAAAATGCAGCAAGGCCATCAGGAAAATTAACAAAGGAAAAATACTTCAGGGCAAAACAAAAAAGGTGTGTGATTAACTGAGTTGCAGGAGAGCGTGTGCATTTATGCTTCGTTATTTTTAAGAAAAGTGTGTTCTTTGACTATATTCCACCTCCCCAACCCTTCATATTATTTGTGTTTTGGTAGCCTTTAAGGAATGAAAGCAGCTGTGTATGGTTGCACAGTGCCTGGTGGAGTCCTGACTCAGTATCTGGCTATTACAATGGATGCACTACATAACCTGACTCATCTAGATTCTATCTAGATATTACATATAATCCCTGATAATACACATAAAGAACCGTTTCAGTAAGCATGAAAGGATGTTTGAGTGCTAGGAGCTCCAAATGATGCAGCTTTATTCAATAGTATTTATGTACTTAATTGTTCAGAGAGAACTTCCATCAAACTCCCAGTCTTTTTTCTCTTTCCTTATTCAGTCTGTCTTCTCCCATACCACATCACTTGTTCAGAGGAGTTCTGCCTCCCTCATAACTGGCACTGTACTTCCACTTTTCATCATTTTTTTGTGTGCCAAGCTCATCATATTTGCTTTATGCAAAGTGCCAGATGTGTTGGCAGGCTGGTAGGAATTATATTTATATACGATAAGGAATAGTTTAGCTTTTGTGCCCTGAAGTAGCGGCAGTGAGACAGTAGTCATGTTTAACTTTAGTCATGCGAGTTCCGCTTAATGCAAAATGATTATAAAGCAAATTCCCTTTCTGCTGAAGCTTTTAAAGCAGGAGGAAAACGCAAGAGGTAATTTAATGTGGGGCATGTCTTCATAGGTCAGAATAACAAGATAGTGTCTTTTTTCCAGGCTGTTAGCAATAAAGGAACAGTTGCATGTGGTAAAAACAGTATGTTCTAGACTCCCTGCCAGTAATAAAAAAAAAAAAAAAAAAAAGATTACTTTGTAAACTGAAAAAAAATCTTTGGTTCATTTAAGTTGATAGTATTTGTTAAACAAGACTGCAGGTGAAAATTGTTCCATTAAGTAGAAATAACTTTAGTAGTAATTCTGTGAACTAGCAGGGCAGTAAGATTTTGATAGGATATAGAATCATTTACTCAAGCTTCCTAGAATTTCTTTGAAAAACTTACATATCTATCCAGAGATGGTTTTGCTTTGCCAGCTCTGCCCAAATTTGTATAAAACAGTCAATTTATCTTCAGGAACAGACTGTTGTTTTCCCTGATAATGTTAACCAGACTTGTGGTGAGGCCAGACACAGTGGCATTCAAAACAAGTTGTAATTAATCTGAACCACCTTATTTTTCAGATGGCACCTTGTCCTGTAAGCAGAAAACAACTAGTGTGCCATGTTACATAGTTCAGAATAAAAAGTAAGGTTCAAATAAAATATATATATAAAAGAATTGTGAGTTTATAGAAATATATTCAGAACAGAGCATTAAGTTCTGATTTCAACAGAAAAAAAGTTTGAGGGACTAGCTGCTACATAAATCAGCAGTAAATATTTTTCCTTACAAATTATTATAGTTGATAATCTGATGTTTATAATGATATATCAGTATTGCATAATCTAATGTTTGCTTCATACTGTCATTATTCATTGCAGTAAACTTGCATCTGACATGTGGTATGACTCAACCCAAAGGTCATGTTGGAAAAGTGTTTTTTAGTGTCTGAGTTGCTTTTATGTTGTATTTTATTGCGTGCTTTTGGCTTGAAGTGTAGTAAAACACAGGCTGCTTAACCTATGCCAGTACTTGGAAATAAAGATGCTGCTTGCTCAGGGGGTCCTGTTCAATGTGAAAAGGATGTGCTGGTCTGTCTGAACTCTGTAACCCTGCTGTGTGACCAGAAGGGGTATGGAAAACAGGAATTTGTTACTTTGTATATACCATGAAAATCTACTTTAAAGGAATTTAATGAAAGATAAATCATGTAACTGAGTAACTTGGTTCACGTTTTTACCATTCTGAAGGTGTGTGAAACAACGAGATACGATACAGCTCTAGTATGGAAGGGCTGAGTGACTATTAAGTTGGGAAGCTTTGTTTTACTCCACAAAGTTGAGCAAACAAAAATCAAATCCAAATGGTCTGTGTCAGTGAATATTGAAATAGTACTGGAATGTTGTTTTATCCAGTTCCTATTAGCATTGTCAAGATTTGTACTGGAAATTTTGGTTTTATCTGGAATGACAGTCTCATCCTAGGTCCTGTGTTGCATTCTCCACTTCAGTAGGGATTGGTCGTCCTTATGAGCTCTGTTCTAGTTTCTGCTTCGTCTTTAATCTGCTAACTTTTGGCATTGTCTGCAAAGATTAATTTCCAGTGAGGGCTTACCTATTCATTTTAAGAGGAATACTGTTTTTCCTGCCCAGCTGAGAGGCTGGGATAGAAGTAAAAAAAAAAACTTCTTGTATACACATTTTTATATATAAGAAGTTAGGTATACTTCTGCTGCTAATGATCTTATACTTGAATAGAAGGGAAGATGCAGTTGGCAGATGATTAGTGATTCCTTATGTTTATGCTGGGCCTGTTCCTTGGTAAACTGTGGGTTTAGGAAATAATGTAGGCTACTGGCCAGTAAATTTGAAGAAAAACTGAAATTTTGATTGGGATCTCTGGCTCCACTTTGAATGATTGTCATTGCTTGAAATATTCTTTTAAAGTGATTAAATAAGTTACTGTTCACTATTGATTATAGTTTCTTAAATTTATAACCTTGCTTAGACTCATTTTAATCCGATGCTTTTGGGGAAAAATGTGGTTCAAAGCTGTTAGCTTCTTGAAATTAGCTGTACTTTAAGAATCGTATGGGGTTGCAGTAATTTTTGTTTTTAGAGGATGACTAACTTGATAAATGAGAACACTGTAACTATAGTATTCTCTTTCAGCTGTTGGATGCTAATATGAGACACTTTTAAAAAGATATCTGAGGGCAGGTTAGACATCTGGACTAATTGCACCGGTTCCTCATGTAGGCCAGAACATTAATGGCAATAACCTTTGGTCACCATTGGTGTGGGTTTCAGAATAACTTTTTATCTGAAGGAAATTTTGTAAGCCTATTAGTCATGCTAAATTTTAAAGAATTTTATGGGGACTACAAAGAAAACTGGAAGAGCTCACGATAACTTGAAATGTTGACTGTAACTTGAACCTGACTGTTTCATTCTGTGCCACAATTAGAATATCCACGATCTCTTTTTTAGAGGATTATCCCAATGGGACATGGCTTGGAGATGAAAATAATCCTGAGATGCGGGTCCGTTGCCCCATCACCCCTGCTGACATGCTGCACATCAGCACGAACTGCCGCACAGCTGAGAAGATGGCGCTGACATTGCTTGATTATCTTTTCCATCGGGAAATTCAGGCCATCTCCAACCTTTCAGGCCAAGGGAAGCATGGGAAGAAGCAACTTGATCCTCTGATGATTTATGGAATTCGCTGTGAGTATAACACTGAAACTTTTGAGTTTATACTGTGTAGATAAGGCAGAAACTGTCTGCTGCTTGCAGTTACTACGTTTTGTAAGAATTGGGTATGTGGTGTTGTTGCCAGACAGATGTTTTGTTAGCTTTTGTTTATGAAGGAATCCTAATGGGCTGGTTTAATTTAGTTGTGGGTGTTCACCAGAAATTCCTCAATCTTGAAATCTGAATTCAAATTTCTTTGCAACTACCAGCTGTGAGCGCACCAAGTGTTGTAAGTATCAGAGAAATATTACTTTCTCAGATAATGGAACAAATAATAAAACAAATTACACATATTTAAATATTGTTCAAGTGTTCAAAACAGTATGGTCTTGAATCTTAGTTTTTTACTTCCTATTTATGTCTATTATTTCAAAAGACTTTCTGACATTGAGATGGAAGAAATTTGCAGTCTCTGCTAAAGGAGAGATTAAGTATCATAAAGTGTGGATTCATAATAGGAGTGCATATGATGCTAATGTACTTCTGTGTGCTCCAGTGTGCATGAGTCTTTGGTTATTAAAGCTATTATGCAGTAATGAACAGATATTACTTAGATTGAAGATGCCATTTTTGTCAATTTAAAAGGAATTAAATGTGTTTTGCATATAGAATAGAGTAGGCATAGCCACTAGTTTTGAGTGAAGAAGAGTCTGGACATCTGCGTCTTGCTCTGATACAGTGACTTCTAGTAGAGGATTACTTGGTGAATACGTTGAGGACAGGCAAGTCTGTTCTGTGTGCTATGGTGTAAATATTTTCCAGTAAAAGAGGTACGTGAAGGCCTCTCAAACAGCCAAGCATCTGACACAAGTGAACAGCTTTTGTGTGATACCTTTGCTATACATGTAAAGTGGGGAATTTTTTTTTTTTTGCTATAAATGTTAGTGGGGAATTAAGAGGAAGTGTAAAAATCACCAACTTCACTAATTGAACTAAATTTTAATCATAGAATGGTTAAAGTAGAAAGGGACCTTCTAGTTCCAACTCCTCCCCTGCTCTAGGCAGGAACACCTTCCACTAGACCTGGTTGCTCAAAGCCCCATCCAACCTGGCCTTGAACACCTCCGGGGATGGGGAAAATATATATACTTACTATACCAGTAGATCTCACTGTTTGAAGATTCCTTATAGTCACATCTTATGTAGGTCACCAATGGATTAGTACAGTGGGAATAATTTGTTATAGTAAAGTATTTTGTATGCAACTGCCAATTTGAAATGCCAATTAAGGCTTAAAAACATAGCCAGAGAGAGCTTATTTTGAATGGTGTTTGAAGAATTTGATGCTTTGTTTTTATGCTTCTGTTAGGGCAATCTGTTTGATAGTTACATGGAAGAAAATGTGAAGAATATTTGATGATGAGACTGCTGTGCTTTCTTAACACTGAGCTGAGCTAAAGAAATATGGTGCTATTGACCTGCTTTTAAAGTTTCTGGTAATTTACTGGCTATCTTGGGGAAATTGATAGGCAAAACTAACCCATTCAGTTTGCTGCATTACGCCAATTTTTGTCTCGTTACGTACCTGAAGCAGAAGACTTCAGGCTTATACTGCCAATATATTTAATATGTATTTTTAAGGGAGATTATGATTCAAAGTAATTTCGATCTCCAAAACATTTTTATCTATTGATCTCATCAACGTAAATGACCTTGTTCCATTGTATTTTTAAAACTTAGATTTTTCTTGGCAATGGTTTTTAGAAATGTAAAGAAATGAATCTTGCTCCAATGTTGAAGCAAGTCATTAGCAGCCCTTTTCCCTATCGCTTAAATCTGTGGGCACAAATCAAATGAGTGAGTTCGTGACTATTTGTGTAGGAAGAACAGGTTTTTGAAAACATAAGCATAGGGAAGGAATGTGCTCATGTGACTGAATGCTCAAGCTAGGGATTATGTCATTTATATGAGGCATTCTGACCATGAAGCAATTGGATTATAGAAGTGATCCCTGCAGTTAGAAAAGGTCTGCGATGGCAGAAATGTAACAGCAGTGGATCATAAGCAGCAGCATTCTGAATGATGGGCACAGAAACCACTGTCTGTGTCTTTGACGTCATAAGCACGGTTTGGAATGTTTGGGATCCAGGTGTCTGAAACATGTCTGCTTTTCTTCTTCATGTTGACTAGTGTGTTGCTTGATTTTGGGAACCAGTCCATAACAAACTAGGGTTTGTGTACCCCTTCTGGAAGAAATACACCCTGTGTGAATCTAACCAGAATTTACTTTTTTCGATACCCAAATGTTGAAGGTTATTGAGATTACCTGTCAGCAATGACAAAGGATCCTGTGGCAACAAATGATGAAAATGCACGTAAACTTGATGAAGCAGCAAGTTTAATAGTAACAACATTGGTCCAGAAATGATGATTTAATGTAATGCCCTAATATGTTATCACTGCGAATAATTAAGTTGAAATGAAATTTGATTTCAGTAGCTTGTGAATTTGCTGTGATGCGGGCGAGCGTATGGATGACTCATAACTTCTGAGGATGATACTCTGGCCATGTTCAGTTCAGTGGCAGAACTCCTGTTGCGTTCAGCTGTGCCACCATTTCATCCCAAATACTTGTCAGGGAGGCACTGGGAAGAGCCCTGCCATGCCATATGCACTGTGCTTTACCAGTCCACAAACCATCTGTTTTTTATTGGTGAAGTGTTGTTCCATAAAATCTACCAAAAACCGAGTGCAGCGCTAGCATGGGAACTAAATTACGTGGTTGTCCTAACAATGTGGTTTGCTTCTGCTCTAAGCAGTAATACTTTGATGCGTTATTTTAAACTTCAATGAAAAATCTAATGTCATCAGCCTCACGTGTGCCAATCATAGCTAGAAAAGCTCAAGCCAATATAAAGGATTTTATTTTTCCTTTTGTTTCAAGTTTCTTAAAGTTTGTCAGTGGAAAGATATTCCTTCGTTTCTTTTTCTAGAAGAAAAAGAAAACACCCACCAAATCTGTATTTAATAGAGAAAATATTTTGTATAATATGCAGAAACTATAGAACATGAAGAGATGTATGTTTATTAAAAATTCTTGATATACTGCATGAGGTTTACCACAAGAGAGATGAAAGTTTATCTTTGAAAGTATAAATTTTCACTTGTGGTATAATTTCGCTTGTGGAGTGGCAGTGGTATTGAAGAGAGTTTTGGGGCAATAAACCAAAATGACTTAAACACACTATATGTCATTAAGTAGCTTGTTACTTCAGCCCTACTAAAAATGTAGACATTTTCTGGTGAAATACAAGAACATCCACAGTTGTAATATTCATTGGGTAACAGAAAATACAGGTCTCTTGAGATTTTACAGCAATCTCCACAAACGACTTTGAGAAAACAGATTTCCAAATTCAGAATTTTGCATTTATAAGAAACTTAAAACACAAAGGATGATTTTCCTTGTTGTCTTGGAAAAAATGGAGAGGGGATTTCTGAAGTTCACGAAAGAAGAGCTATGCGTAGTTCTTAGTCTTTCAAATAATCTAAGTAATTAAATGAAAGCAAAATAACATTAGTTATTTCCTGTGTGTGTAAATTTGTTAGTGTGTCATTTCCGTGAAAGGCTTTTGCATCTGCACATGTGTGTTTGCATGCTCTCACCAATCATTTTTTAATATATTTGTCAGGCCAATTATGACAAGAGGATAGAAGATCAGTACCTACAAATTAAATGTGGAACAAGTGTTTGGGTCAAGGAAGGAGATGTAAATTCACTAATTGCATTAAGGGGAACCTGTGCTCTTACTTTAGTTGTATTATTGGACATCAGAAATCCTCTTTCGTCTCCATACAGTCCTCTGATGCTCAGGGAACTATTTAGGCGTATTGAAATAACTGTCACATTAAGGACATGATTGTTGTTTAAAAACAACCAAAAAACCGCAGTAGCCACAGAGGGGAGGGCACCGTGATGAAAGATGTATGAGTAGTGTTATAGGCAGCTTAGTACTGTTCTGTTGAATTTTCCCATCTGCTTCCAAGTCTACTTCGTAGAGTGAATTCTTGCTGATTTCCGTTCATGAGTTAATGTTTCTTTCATCCAGAATATGTCCCTGTCATTTAAACAACATAGGAAAAAAAGTGTTGTCTGAAAATATCTTATGATAAAGTCTGATTTTTAACTATATGGTAAATTATGTATATTTTATTTCAAATGGCACATGACTTTTTAAGATGCAATTTAAATGTAGAGTAGAAAGAAATTGGTAATCAAGGCTTGGTGTTTCTATTTTGTCATAATATTGCTTCCAGTAAAGATGGGACCACCTTTCTGCTGTACTAGTTGAAAGAGATGTTAATACACTTTGATAGAAGAATGAAGCATAGCTACGTCCTCTTCAGAGGGATGTTCAAATAGAATTAAGCGCTATACTGCTTTACAAAATTCATTGACACAATACTGCTTGAGAAGCAGACCACCCACGTGTGTTTAATTGGAAACACATTTGACTCCTGCTTGGTTGTGTAACGTCTGTCAGTTAGATGTGTGTGTATGTATTCATGCACGTAACCCAAATGTAATGCAGGTTAAACAACTTGTAACTTGTCATGTAAAATCTGTGGGTTGCAGTAAGTCACTACTGTTTCAGCATCTTATTTTGCTTTTAATGAAGATTTTGGTCGTAATAGCAATGCAGGATAATCAACAAATATACCACACTTGTGTTCTGTCTTAAGCATTATCATGCTTTTAAATACTGGAGGAAGGGTAGTAAGTTGCTTCTCAAAGACAAATTGTTAGCTCTAATGTTCTCACCAGTGGATCTGTTTTACGAGATGCTGCAGACTGTTGCTACTATATAGAATGTTTTATATAAATGAACATTACGGTTACTGAAGGTGTACACTATAAATAAGGACTGTAATTAGTATTTTGTTTTTCTCATTTTTCCACTTTAGAAAAGCATTTTTTATTGCTGTATGTTTATAAACTATACCCATTTCTCCTCTTATCTACTTTTTTCCAT